TGACTCTATTAATAACTGCATCAACTATACAAATATCACCTGCTTCTGAATCCTGTATTCTCTTACACTACTTAACAGTAAATTCTGTTGGTACACAATCTGCTACACATGTAAAATTTCTATTATCACAACACCACTAGCTTAACAAAAGAAAATAAGTTCTAGAAAATGCCACCCGAACACACCGACTGTCTACCAGACGACCTTGCCACTCACACATGTTTGTACATGTGACCTCACCAAGCTTTGACTTTGCAAAATTTCCCTTTTTTTGAAGCATTACTATGTGTCTACCTTTTGTCCAACTGTTTAAAAAATTTCGTGTTTGCTAATGTGCTCTTTCACCTATCTAATGATGTAGTTGGATTCATTGTAACATTTGTAGTTTCAAAATATATGCATTCGCACACACCTCAAACAGCATCTTAACTTTTGCTTTCCCATCAGACCATTAGGAAGGAACATAATCATACATTAACACTTTGCCGACCGATCACCTATTAATTGGCTTTTTTTCGCCAATGCCTACTGACCGATAACCTATTAATCGGCTTTTTATCGTGAACGCCTACCAAACAATAGCCTATTAATTGGCTTTTTTCGCCAATGCCTACCAACCGATAAGCCTATTAATCGCTTTTTTCTCAGGGCTACCTAGAAATAGCCTAGCAATCGGTAACCATGGCGATAAACAACCTCCATTTACTACATCATCTGCATTTTATTATTACAGAAAATCTGCGGCTGAGCGGACGTGTGTATGCTGTTGAACTGCTAGCGGTTGGTCAAGTGTTAAAATAATTCTTTAGCTATCGCAATATATGATACTATTATCAAAATCATAGAGCACTATTCAAATAAACTTATCTTCATTATTTGTAAATACCTGCAATTAAAACACATATACTTTAATGTATGTATTTGGAACTTCATATAAATTCTTGTATTTAAAATCCTTCCCCTTGCCCACAACAGCTACAGCTTAAAAACTTAATTCAAAAAGAAAAACAGATTTCTTGTGTCTAACAATGAATGCAAATCTGCTTTTCCTTAAAAGGTAATCCATGAAGGCATCCCTACCCTTATGCAGGTAGCTGTTGCAGACTATGGCATAATTGGGGGGGGAAATGTGTTACTTTAAGTGATCTGTGAGGTACCAACCAGTGCAGAAGTGGCAAACTGAATAGTGGTAATTCGATCTATGTTAGAGCTCAGATGAACAGACTGGCTATATGGGTCCTATTTATGATTTCCAACATGTGTAATGTGAATACAAGCCACTTTCCCTTAGAAAGTCCTCAATGGAAACATCACTCCTCTTAGGCAGACAGCCCTAATGCACTTTGCCATAACCAAATACCCTAACTTGACAACCTGTGTGGTAGCTATCTAACGGTAACTTTTTAAAATGAGACATGCAATGAAATTTTCATTCTTTATTTTTTATGTATTTCAGAAAAAATTATGAAATTAAAAAGATTTCTTAATATATTTCATTTTGAACCTTTCAGATTTTGCTTGTTTTGAAATTAATGACTGATTACCAGTATCTAAAGAGCACATTATCAGTGAAGCTATGGTGTAAATTTGGGATTTTTACATTTCCTTCGATTTTCTTAATTGAAATTAAAATAGTACCAATTAGGGAAAAGTTTGGATAATAATGTAACTAATACCTTTTTGCGCAAAAGCTATTGCCAGACATTTGGATGATACAATGAAAAATGATTTCTGTGCAAGTCATGGAAAAATTTGCTATAGACATGGAGTTCATGATTATCACAAATTTACGTGTAATGCAATTTCTCATCCAAGAAAATATCTCATTACTGACTGAGTGAATAAAACCACTGAACTTGGTTTCAAATCTTGGAGTATATAACTACATGAATTATATTGTTTCTTCCCATGCATATGAGCCACTTTCTTTTAGGAGGCCTTCATCAAAGTCATTCCTCCATTAACAAATCAGCCCTTGTGTGCTTTGTACGATTTGCAAATCATCCTCAAAACAATTGCAATTTTACTTCTCTAATCACTGTCTTTCGGCATGCCAATGGTTTAGTCCACAGTTTTTAATGTAATGACTTCTTACCCAAAGCACATACATTACTGCTCTCGAATCCCTAATTAAAAATCTAGAATTTAGACATTCAGCAAACTTTTTTTTTTTTTGTGTGTGTGTGTGTGTGTGTGTGTGTGTTTTATACTTTTAGTTATATTACATGCATGAATAAAAAGAATTTCACTTGGTATCTCAAATTATTAATGCATCAAATGCAGTTAAATAATTGTATTTTTCACATTACACTCAGTCGCTTGGAGGCAACTTGGAATTTCTTTTATATTTAATTTTTAAAAACTGAAAAAGACTATATTTGCAACTGAAACCTTAGTAATACTCAAACTTTAATACAACTGCATTTTTCCCCTTTTTTGGAATCTTTTGATGCTTAACAAGTAAAAAGATTTATCAACATAAATTCCTTACCACCAGAGAAGCAGTCGTATGAGCAAGAATAGTTATAGCTGGGAAAGAAACTACTCGCTGCTTTCTTTTTCCTGCCAGTGTTTTCTCCTTTTCTAAGCAGATGAGCTAATAGTCTCATAATTCTAAGTATAATTTTCAAATGCTTTAAGAATGTATTCCAATTATTTTAACTGAAGTAAACCTTATTTATTGCAGCCAAAGTTATGAAGTTCTATATAACAGTTTTATTGCTCCAGCTTTACAACATCTGCATCAGGAAATATTTCCTTAAAAAGAGTATTTCAATTACCCTACACTTATCCCTTCTTTCTAAATACCAAAACATCTAAATAGATGAGAAGGAGGAGTGCTGAATGGCCATTGGCTGTAGTCATTGTCTACACTGTTTTCATTTTGGCTACCTTTAGCGACATGAAGTTTTAGTATCAGTCAGTATGGAAAATAGAATCTATTTCACCATTAGTAATTTGACATAAGAATTCCAATTTTTTTTCACCTGTTTCAGGAGAAATGAAAAATTTACTAAAAGATTTATAATATCCATTATTGAACATGATAGATCTAATAAGTGAATCGTACAAATTTGTGCACATTACCTTAGTTTAGATTACAACACAATGTTTGCTCAGTTACATAAGCAAGAATCAGTCCTAAAACAAAGTAAAACTTTTTTAATTTAGCTATTTAAATATAAAATAAGAATCTTTTGAATTAAGACAAATTTTTCCTTGCTATGAATTTCTTAAAATTATATTTTACGAACAATTTATTAAATATTTTACATAGAGTAACAAACCCATAAATCTGAAAACTTTACACCTACTACGTTTTTAAACCGTTTCTCATGCCAGTTAGTACTGTTATTTAAATGTTGCAACACTGGAATTCTCAAATTTTAAATTTGTACATTATTTGTAAAATTATCGAACTGCTGCTGAATTTTTTATGTTGTTCAACATCTATCATATTCATTTTATGAAAATTATGGATAAAATTACTGAAAACTAATTTAGAATTTATTTTCAACCAAAAGGATAGATAACATGGCAATTTTCACGGATTTTTTAGTAAATTTATTTCCGAGCCCCATTCTATTTGAAATTTTTTTTTCATTTGAAAAATATCTAATCCAAAACTAATATCCATTATATAATTTGTTATAATTTACTGTTTAAATATCAATAATAAATTTCCTGAACAAAGTTGGAGCATTATTTGTAAATCTGTTTTCACAATACTAATTAAATTGTGAAAGTAAAATTTCTAATTAATCCAAAACAAAATTCTTATGCAAAATAGTTCATTCTAAATTTTGTTTAAATAAGCAGTATACCCATTCATTTTTTCAATGAAAAAATAGATCATTAAGATCTATTATTGAAAAATCTGTTTATTCTAGAAAAATCCATTACGTATAGACTACCTACTGCTTCTAATATGGAATGGCGTGGATCTTCATCGTCCAAAGCACATTAAATATTCTCACACCATTTATCAAAAACTTCAATCAGATATAATATACAAGAAGAATTTATCTAGATTTTAAACATGCATACTTCTTGCCAACAGCCAATCACGGTTCTCGCTTCTACAAAAATTTCTCCTTAGGGCTGCTATATTTATCGGCAGCAAAGTATGTTCATTTATTGCTTACCATGACTCATCACCACAGATTTCTTTGATGGCAACTCAAAAAAATCCCGTCAAATTATCAAACATTTCAGAGGATCCATAGTGTCGAAGTTTTTTTTTTTCTCTCTTAATAACAAAATTAGGCTATTAAATTAGAAGAGATCAAAATGTGACTCAACATACATACCTGCCAAGCTACGATACTCAAAAATCAGATTTTTTTAAGAAATCAGGAGAGTTTCATGAGAGTTTTCTCAAAACAATTTTTTTCCATGATAAAAATATTCATTAAGAGAATTTATATTCTAATAATGAGTCAACTTTAAATAGTAACTAGTTAATAACAGACAGTTCAGTTACTATTTCTTAAATGCAACTAGTTAAAAAATACTTACATGTAAAAGAAAACTTTTTTATTATTTGTACCTTTTAATAGAAAATAACATTTTAATCAGCTTTCATACAAATGCTAAGTACAGTAGCAGATTTTGCTTTCATAGCATAAGCTCTCTTTTGCTAATAAAAGTTTTCCTAATCTGTCATTACTAGTACTGTATCTTAATTTAGTCCTTATTTTAGTAACATTGAAAATTCTCTCATACTCTGCATTACTATGCAGAATTTACAGGATGGCCAACATTATTCTAGACAGTTTCCATTACGTTAAAATTTCGGTGTCAATCCTAGCTAGTTTTATAACTTTACCAAACTTTTCTAGTTGTAAAATGCAAAACTGTGATCATAATTTATCAGTTGCAACATCAATATATATATAATTATAGAGTATATAACATACATTTACTTTTAAAAATATATCAGAAATGCAGCACTTTTTTATATAAAAGTAAACATTATACAAGACAAAGTTCTCGCTTACCTTTCCCGTCCTTCACCAACTACAACAATTCTCTGATTGTCTGGGGACCAAGACAGGTCTTTAATAGTTCCTGCAAAAGGTTGAAACTCATTCTTCAGAATGTGTTCTTTTTGAGTGGTATCCCATATGCGAATTTTCCCAGACAGGTCTAAATAAGAACAACAAGCAGAATTTTTTAATGCTAATTTACAATACTAAAAGTTTTAGAATATCATAGTTAACATTTTTAACTGTGCAAAAATTATACTTAAAGTGTTTAAAATTTGAAATATACAATGTAATAAAAAATATTTCTTGAGATAATATAAAATATATTTTCAGAAAAATAAAAGTGGTGAGTCACTTCTTTCATTATTCTTTTAATTCTTTAAAAAAGAATGTATTCCTGTTACATTAAAAACTATCAGATTACAATTTTGGAATATAAATATAACAGTAATAAAAAATCGCAGGCACCCCATAGCAATTCACATTATGCATTCACAGTAACTCTACATGTATAGAACATCTGCTTTTGATTTATGGCTTTTAAAACATCTTTCTAAAGTTCTTTTTTATTATTTAGACTTCCTTTTCAACCTCAACATGCAATAACTCAAACTAAATTATTAAAAGTGTTCATGAGAGGCACACAGTACAAAGTACTGTTATTATACCACATTATTCATTCACAGTAACTCTACACACATAGAACAACAGCTTTTGATTTATGCCTTTGAAAACACCTCTCTAGATGTTCCTTTTTATTTAGACTTCCTTTGCAACCTCAACATGCAATAAATCAAACTAAAATATTAAAAGCTTTCATGAGAGGCACTATCATAACAGTACAATATACTGCAATACTACCACAAAAATATTCCATAAGAAAAAATTCTAACAAATTAATAAATTTGACACAGATAATTTATTAGGGCTAATGGTTATTTGCCTAGGAAGAACAGTTTTGTGGAAGATTTTTTTCATATGACATGGCTTGTATTCGGAACTATTAACCTTCCAATTTGTTTCTCTAATTAATTCCTAATTTCATTCCTTTAGTGCAATTAGACAGTACTTCAGAACCTTTCTTCAAATCATATCAACAGCCTTGAGGTGGGCACACCATCATGAAAACTGGTAATTGGCATCACTGATAACCATGTCTCTAATGCAACCACCTTGATAGAACACAAAATCATTTGGAGCTCAATGTGATCATCTCCAGGAGAAAATACTTCACATATGTGTATATAAATAGTTCTACAAAAAAATTATATATGAACATATATCAAGTTTGGTATGTCAAAAAATAAATGATTTTAGAGATAAAGATTGCAACTGGTACCCCATACAATAATGGCTCCCCTTACAGACTAGAAACACTTTTGCTTTTAGCACTTTGCTAAAAATCAATGTTTTTATTTAACTATTTCTTGGTGAGTTTTACACAATAAAAGTAAAAATAAAGAGAAATTTGGAAACAAATTTTTTTATCTAGAAAATTACAATAAAATTTTAATATGTCACATTAAATAAAACATCTTTAGTACCTGCAGATGCTATGTAAAATCCACTTGGAGAGTATTTTGCCACAGTAGTCTGAACAGAATGCTCAGTATAAATATCAGATATTAAAGGGTCCTAAGGAAACAAGAAAATTACTCAGACACAAAAATGTAATTGCAATAAATGAGCATGTCACCTTAAAATTTAATAATTAAAATATGATGCTTATTTGAAATTCATTTTCATAAAAGAATGCATTTCCAGGAATAGTAGTGGTCCTTTAAAATGCACTTAGCTTCTTTTAATAAAGGTTAAAATTACTAACATAGCATCTAACAAAATTTAAATAATACAAGATAATTTATATATCACTAATCCTGAACATAAAAAAAAAAAAAAAAAAAGAAAGAAAGAAAGAAAGAAATTTAACCACAGTTAAATCACAAAGTAAAATTAAAACAAAAGTAAATAATATATAAGTGCAATAACCAACTGAAGCTTCTTAAAATTTTGGCTATTTTTCCCCCCTTCATTTTTATATCTTGATATTTATTGAATTCAATGCAACGAACTTCAAATTACAAACTGCTCAATTACATATGCATAATAAACTATAACAGTCAATTTTAAAGATTTCAAAATTCTGTTCTCATAAAAGTACTTTATAAACTTAATAAACTCTCCACCTTGTAAAAGTAGTGCTTTACACCTCTTATATTTCTATCACCTTTTTCAGTACTCTTCAGGTGGTATAAGAAAGAAATCTGAACAAGAATTTTCTTTCGCAAAAACAAGTGAAAAAAAAAAGCAAATCTTTCATCATATGTTCCATCCAGTGATAGTGAAAATTATGTTTTATTTGTTCATGAGATTTACATTGGTTCAATAGGATGTTTCCATCCTGTGCAACTAATTGTAGATGTGTTAGCCTGAACTGTCAAACATATCATATTCGTTTACATCAGCATTAGCATAACACACCTGGTTTAACACTGAGGTAGGGTGACAGGCAGGCAGATAAGCTACAGAGGTGTCATGACATTAATTTTGTCTTTTGTCTTATATATCCCTATCATTAGAACTTTCTACTACCAAATCTCCAATGGCTCAGCTTAACATACCATCATCCCTTCCACCATGTCTAAGTGCTCAAGTACACTGGAAAGTGAAAACATTATTTCAATTTACACAGGATGCATATCATTCCTATCAGTCATAGGTAATAATTTATTTAGAAAAAGTTTTGGGAAGTCCTAGGTGGAAGGCCTAGGACAGCCCAAAATGTTTCCTACATAAGTTATTGCAACTGTTCTTCAATTCATGTACTTTGGCATACAAAAGATTTCAGAAAAAACTGAAATTAATAAATCCTGCTTGCATAAAATTGAAGGGGGTGACCAGTACTTCTACCTAACTTTCTAGAAAATGGTTTTGTATAGTGACAAATCTCAGTTTTGATTAAATGGTTGGATGGCAAACTCTAATAGTTATTTCGTAAGCAATTGAATCTGTGCCTAGTGCTCATACACTAGCAAATAAAAAAAAAATTGTTACTTGATGAAGGAATAAATCAGAAGCTTTATTGACTCCATTTGTTAAAGAAGTTCACTGAAGTATTTATCAGACAGCATTTTGCTTCTGGGCGGGGGGGGGGGAATTATTTAACAAGGAAATAAGATCATTAGGACTTGATCTTGGAGTGCTATAAAGGAAACACAAACAGCTATTTTAATGTAATCTTGGATGGTATGGTTATTAACAGAAAATGATGGCTAGTCCGAAACAAAAGCTATCAATCTGACTGCCCTATACAGTTTTGCTGTAAGTGTACTTATAGCCCTTTTATCTTTTCCCGTCCTTGAAGATGTAATATCAGTCGATCCCAGTAATGCACTTTAGCAATGTTTTCGGTAATGAGAGGGATAAACGCAGAATGAGTTTGGTCATATTTCCCATTGAATTCTTAATTAACCAGAAAGTACCTGACCATTTGGAATAAAATAGCTACTACATTTACTTACATATTTTGTCCCATAGTTTTTTCAGCATATGTTTCAGAAACTTGTGATAAAATGCACGCACAAATAGGAAATTATTTTGTATAAGTAAAACGAATATTACTGAAATTGAAAAATGCTCTGAAATGCAACACATAATATTAGTGTGTCTATATGTGTACTTCTTAATGTGCTATGTTTATCATTAAAGACATTTCTTTAGAAATAGTATACACCTCATGCTTTTTCCCTCTTTGTTTTCACACAGTAAAATTACTACGATAAGGGAAGGAAATGTATGAGTAAATAAGGTATTATAATTTCTTCATTCTTCTCATAAGCAAGGCTGTCGTATGCGGAGGAAAAAGTAGAGGCTACTCAGTTTCCTTGTTAAAAATATCTTTACACTTGAATAAAAATAATTACTTTGATCTGCATTGTTTTTAGTTTTCTTAACTATATATGCTCACATGAGACAATCTCCAAAGTTAATGGCAACACAAAGTAAAATTGCAGTGTCAAATATTACCTCAAATTTTTGTTCTACATTCATATACAATCTCAGTCAAAAAAAAGTATTTTTACTAGCTAGAAGAATCATTTAATAATCTCAAAATTTAACACGTGAATGCCTCTTAGCCAGTTATGCAAAAGATAAAAAGTGTGCAGCAAATTAACATACAAAACAGTTATAAACTGCATTGAAAACATGCACTTCCAAATGCAAACACGGTACACAGCTGAATCACAGTATGAATTCAAACTAAAAATGCTTAAAAGGCATATTTAGTGACTGCACATTCAATTAAGCAACTTAAATAAAGGTCACATCCGTAGCTTCAGAGAAAACAGTCTAGTTATACAAAACAATCACAAAGCAAAAAGACTGAAATGATGATAGTTTTATTGCCAGCGATTGCAACTGTGCCTCATAATCATCATTAAGGTATCAAAAGAACCAAAATAAGAATATCTCAGAAGTATTGAGTAATCTCACAGCTCTGCATATGCACATGTGAATGATACATAGCAGACAGCTCTGCTATATGTCATTCAGACCATCTCACCTTTTTCTACTGAATAAGTAATATCAAGAAGTACTGCAGTAATAAGCCAGTGAGATATTAAATTATACTCTCATTGTCTTTTGCAAGTCTACCATTAACTCCTCGACAGCAATAAAGCTTACTGCAGGGTGCAGAGCTTGAAAATACTGCACTGGAATCACACTGTGTCCAATAAAGATTTACAGATTTTGCTTTCTTTTGATGATCACAGAATTTTTATGTGACAGAGGTCTGGCCAATGGCACTTACTCCATAAAATTGTAAAGCAGCATATATACTCATCGTCATAAAAATTTGTGTACCAAGAAATAATTGTGGGATCGTAACGAAACTTGGCATAAAGGTACATGTCGGATAGATATGCAAATGATTAGAAATGCAGCGTGATTGCGCATTGCATAATGCTAATAGAGAGCGTTGATCTTCGATCTTCTTGGAGTATAAAACAGGTAAGCAGAGCTTGTTTGAGTGTACTTAATCTTTTGCCAAGGAAACCCTGAGGTAGACATGCCAATTACGCCGCCATCGAAGCCAATATCAGCAGCTGTCCGAGTTCGAGAGGGGAAGAATCATCGAGATGATGGAAACTGAGTGGTCAGCTCGGCGAGTAGCTTGTCAGGTAGGCCGCTCAGATTTTACTGTGAGGAGGTGTTGGAACCAGTGGACAGAAGAGATGTCATTTACACAGCGACTAGGCTCAGGATGCCCTCAACAGATTAGTCATCGAGAAGACCGCCGCATCATACGACACCACATAGAGCCCACTGCCTCATTGGCCACTATACACACACAGACAGCAGCTTCATTACGGGTCCCCGTGCCTTCCCAAACCATTGCAAGGTGCCTGGTTGAAGGTTGGTATCACAGCGCCCATTACGCATGCTGTTAATGATGCCTCTGTTTGAAGTGGTGCCATGCACGACAGGATTGGACTTTAACAGAATGGAATCAGGTCGTCTTCAACGACGAATCTAGATTCATTTTGCTTAATGATAACAACCGTGCTTTTATGTGGAGGCCCCGTGGTGAATGCCTCAATCCTGCCTTCGCTTTACAACGAAGCAGCACATATACACTCATTGCCATAAAAATTTGCGCACCAAGAAATAATTGTGGGATCGTAATCCTTCGCATTACAGCGACACACCATTCCCACAGTTGGAGTGATGGTATGGGGTGCCATTGCTTACGATACACGGCCACCCCTAATATTGATCCATGGTACAACTTTATATTTCTGCAGTTCTTTTAGATGCAGAATATTCTGGCACAGTGAATTTCATTATGATTGTATATAAAATATGGCAATTCAAAAACAAACCTGACTCCACAGCAGCTATTTCTGTGTCAAAAAAATTACCTGATTGATAATGCTCTGAAATGCAAATCAATAACTAATATCTTTTTAAATATAAAATAAATCAATAGATAATTATACTTACAGCAATGTCACGAATAATGACACTATGTCCATTAGTGTACAGAAACGTTTTCCCTTTTGGATCTCCACCTAATACCAAGGGCATTCCCCTCTGAGTTCGAGGAAGTGTAGCTAATACAGTGCCTACAATTCATAATATAAATATATTTATTAAAAATTCATGAAGTAAAAATAAATTCTTTTGGAGGAGTTAAAGCAGCAAGAACCAACATAATATTCACAAATGTGCAGGACTAGTTTCAACATTTTTAAATACAGAACCTTCTTCTTCAGTTGTAGAATTGCAAAGGACAAAAGAGAAGCCAGTGTCCAAGTGATAAGAATCAGAGGAAGTCAAGCTACTGGTGCCATCTATTGATGAAAATGAAAAATGCTAAATAATTTTCTTAAAAGCTGAAAGTAAAGACTGACTAGAATTGGGATCATTAACTACAAATGAAAGATATTTTACGAATGTGAAATGCTTCTAGAAAATCTAATTCAACAGAAGATGCTTTTTGAATAATTTTGACTTCAGAAAATGGAAGATATCATTTCTGACAAACACTGTTGGGTAACATAGGGTTTATTTATTTCTTTTAATGTTCCTTAATGCAAAATTTTTAACGCTGTCTTAGTTTGACCAATGTAAATTAGACTACATTAGCTATTTGCAATGCAAATTAAACTACACTGTCCTATAGATATTCCAGGAGTTCCTATCTGGCATGTGGTTCTTAAGTAGGAAACTGCAATTTTTACTGACAGAAGAAAAAATGACTCGAAAGTCAAATTTCTATAAAATGCATGCAGTTTTATAGTTAATCAATGGAAAAGAAAGAATGACAACAAAATTCTTCTCCTAAAACAAGATTGTGATTTTTGATGTGTCTCAACACATCAACCCCATCAAAACTCAACGCATCAAAAACTTCTTAATACGTCAAAACGCACTCTCTTGTTTTAGAAGATTTTTAAGAACTCTACTGTCATTCCTTTCTATTGATTAGCAATAAAATAGCGTGTATTTTGCAGAAATTCAAATTTGGGTTGTTTTCTCTTCTGTCAATAAAATTTCAGCTTTATAATTAAGGACCCCATACTAGATGTGAACTCCTAGGGTATATACAGGATTACTCGCCAATGTGGTTTAATTTACATTGGTCAAATTAAGGCAGTCTTAAAATTTCATGCTAAGAAATATGATGCATAAGTTAACAAAAAGGAGAACACATTAAATCTTCTATTGCCCAAAAATGTTTGTCAGAAAATCACATCTTCCATTTTTCTGCAACCAAAATTATTCAAAAAACATCTTCCATTGGTGATTCTAGATTTTCTAAAGCAGTTTCACATTCATAAAAATCATTTCTAGTTAACAATTCCAATTCCAACCCATCTTTACCCTTAGGTTCTAAGGAAATTATTTCATAGTTGTTTTCATTTTTCATCAATAGATGCTGCCAGAAGCTGAAATTCCTCTCTCTCTCATTCTTATCGCCTCAGAACAACTGGCTTCTCTTTCATCATTGTACTTCTGCAGCAGCAGAACATTTTACATTTAAACCTTCAAAACTAGTCCTGCAAATTTATTAATATTACGCTAATTCTTGTTACTTTAACGCTTCTAAGACTCATTATTCGGCATGTTACTTTAACTCTTCTAATAATCATTATTCGGCATGTTACTTTGATTAAGTTCTTTTTATCAATATTACCACACAAACTGAATAAAATTACACAAAAACTTAACAGGTATTTTTTTTTTTTTTTTTTACAATAAAATTTAAACAATATCCCTATATCAGTTTTAAACAACTTCTCAAATCTAATTCAAAGCAGAAAAAAGTCTCACCTATCTATTTAAACTATAGCTTCTACAGGGAATTATTCAAATAATGTTCTTTAACCCCTTAACTGGTCAGTTTTTTACCAGAAATGTTCATAAAAAAGCAATTTTTATTGCATATAACTGAATTCCAAACTTGTTATAAAAGAAAAATGAAAGAATTTTTTTAAGGTTTCATAATTAATGAATTTAAACATTTTTTTAATTTTATATATTTTTAACACTTATGCCCCTAAATGTTTGCTTTTTGCAATCACAGAGTACATGCAACAAAGACTGTATTACAGACCTCACGAACAATTACCTAAAAAAAAACTTACCCTATATTAAAAATTCATACTTTTCAATACTGTTTTCTTTGGAAGTCCTTTCTGTGTGGTACAGTTAGAAACATGGTGTTAGGCAAAATACTACATCACATTCAGGACAGAAATAGCGTGTTTCCTTTCGGATTCTCTTTCCATTTTCATTCCTTTGGGAACAGCAAACATTGTCTGGCAGGTCTTAGTTTCTTCTCTGTAGGAGCAATAACTTCTATGAAGTGTCTCTCTGTCAGTCTCAGAAGATTAGGCTCAGAACCAGGTTGTCCACATTTGAGATTCATTCCAGAATTATATGTCTCAATAATTCTGTCAACAAGATTAAGTCTGAACTGTAATTGTGTTTTTCTTCCTCCTTTCTTATAATAGATGACATATCACTTCCATATGGCAATATCAAAAATGTGAACAAAAAAATTTCTGTAATATTCCCCCCTTCTTTCTTGGTCCATGCAGTCTACTCCTCCCATTGTGTTATTATAATCCATAACAATTTTTGGTTTCTGTTTCATTTCAGAGCGGACTTGGATTTGTACCTTCTCACTATTGTGAAGTGTAGGCAGTAATGAAACATTTTTTTTTGTCCATTCATTTCATCACAGTAACTTTTCCTCTCTGAAATGCTATAATTTCTCCTTTTTTTAGTTTTTTCTTTTGCACTTCCTTTGGGACTTCTTTTCTGTTTAGGTTCAGAGTGCCATATGTATCTGTTCGACATGAAATTAATTTGTCAGGTAATTCCGGTGAAGAATAGTAATTATCGGTTGTACGACAGTATCCTTTATGGAGTAAAGGCTGCATCATTGTCATAACAACTTGTGAGGAAATACAAAGATTAGAAAACTCTGGGTTCAGAATCATGTCTTTACCTGTATATATTATTATAGAACACACATAACCAGAAATCGACTCACACGGCATTAAACATTTTATTCCGAATCTTGCTCTTTTTAGAGGAATAAATTGCTTCCACCCTAAGCTTCCTTTGAAAGCATACGGCTTTCACTATCGTTACATCACATTCTGGTGTCACCGCTGAACGAAACTTCATTCACATATTTATAAACTGGACATCATTTCACTCATTTTGGGCATTCGTGATTTTGAGCATCAAATACTGAATTATCTGAAAAATGCAAGTACCGTTGCAAAAGAAGAAATCGACGATGAGACATATTACCTTGAGAAAAAAAGGGTGTGTATGTGGAATGTCTTTTGCTCCAGTACTGATCAATTCCAGGCTTCTTTATAATTCCCTGGAGTATAGTCAGGGCAAAAAATATATGCATCTCTTCCACAGTTGTTTCTTCCCAAAATTTACTTCTTGAGAATTTTCCTGCAATGCTTGATTGGATGCACTGTTTCGCATATCTATTTGTTTGTTTCTTCTAAATTTTAGTCATCAGAGAAGAATCAACAAAAGTTTCATAAAACTGTAGCTCATCGAAAGTATCATCAAATTGCACATTTACTACGGCTGGGATACCAGTAAAATTAAACTGGGAACACGGGGGAGGTGAATTTTCCACATCAGTTTCGATAAAATTTCTAGCAGACATCAAATCTTCATCGGAGCTGAACTCAGTACATGAGTCAGCTGAAGAATAATCCAGAATATTACAAGACAGTTCTGAATTTGTATCAAAATCATCAGAAACATCTAACAATAAAGTATTATCATCAATTATATCATCCATAACTGAGACGTTTTGAATTCACAACCAGAAAACCGTGCAACAAAAACATCAAGAACAAACAATGACAAGTATTTCAGACTTCGGTAACAAAGGAAAAAACCAGTTTGAATACTTTTCAATGACATGGACCAGCTGTGTCATCTGTTGAAATATGTTAACACTAAAGACTCTCTCACACTCAATTAAAAATACAGGCGAATCAAAACAAGAAAGCTCAAATCAAAGCAAAAAAAATAAATAAATAAATATGCTGTATGGGCAATTCAGATGTGGCCAAATATTAGTAACCCATATACTGTACGGGCAAACCAGTTAAGGGGTTAAACAGCAGCATAGTATAACAAGTTCTGATTCCTGTATTTTTATTAGTCTTTTAATCTTGAATAAATATTATTTTATGTGCCTACGCAGTCTAAATTTCACATCTACTGATTCATTATTCACAGCTTGATACATGTAGTCCAATAACTACATGCTTTTTCCCCTTCTAATTAAAGAAAGACATTAACAGTTCACATGTTACAAAATGTAGCCTACAATAGGACAATCTTATTTTCTGACACCAACATGTTTGTATCATACCAGCTTTTTAAAAAAACTCAGTCTCTATTTTAAATGCTAAATGCTTTGTTCACGTTTTCTTACATAATGCGTCCTTTGAGCTACATAATGAATAATTAAAATAAACCTATCTCATTTAACAGCCTGCCTAATTATCCCGAGTTATCCCGGGTTCGTATATATTGCAGTTAATTATTAGCCCGAGAAAACTCGGGCGAAGCAGAATTTTACTCAGTCTGGAGAAAATGAAAGGAAATATTGAGCTTTTATTGGCAGTTTGCCAAGTTTTGTTGGTTTCGCAGTTCTTTTGGCAGGACTGGTCACGTATTTTCCCTACTGTCTAGTATATGTCACCTTGCATTGAAAAACAAAATAATGGCAATGATGCAAGATAGCGAAAGCGCTGATTTTTCAGATAGTGATCATAACCTCAAGGCATTTTCCAAAAGTTACTCCTGCTACTGAAAAAAAATCAAATCCAATGAAACAGTGTTCTCTGTGCTTCCATAAAAGAGATTCCAGATGTAAGCCAGTAAGAAAAGAGACCAGATACCAATGCATAGAATGTCAGGTATCACTTTGTGTTGTCCCTTTTTTAAAAAACTATCATATGACGACTAATATTTAATTTTTTTTATTTAACTTGCCTGAGATAACTCGGGATAGTAAACTAATATTAAAACTAAATGCTTTTACACCTGTAAAAAATTAAAAATT